CCCCCAAAACCCCAAAACCCCAAAACCCCAGATTTTTATTTAAAAATTGAATTATAATGTCGGATAGTTTGAAAAATATCAACATTAAGATCAAGCCTAGTAAGACCAATGTCTTGGATATTGATGATACTGTCAATTTCACTCGTGGTCCAAGAGGGACTATGGCTGTAAGTGAAACTCTGCTACTCATTTGGCCCTAATTATCTATCTACTTATTTGTATCTGCAGGGCACATCTTCTAGCTTATGTAATCTTATATTAATTTTACAATTATGTGAGGATACGAAAGATGATAGAACATGATAACTTTATGTAGACCATCGTTAGCTTAGGACCACCTGGTCTTTGAATAACTTTAAGCACAGTTTTGTGCTATTTAGTCTCGCTTGCTTCTTCATAATTTTAAACAAAGATTTCACTCTAAATCTGTGGTTCAATTATTCATTTACTAAAGCCATTGAGCATGAGTGGGATCCAGATGAGCAGGGAGTCCAACTTCGCGGACCTATCCAAGATAGATGAACAAGAAATGATGGAGCTCAGTGAATTTGTTAAGGAAATCAATGAGGTACAGATCTTGGTGATATTTTAGATGAGAAAACCTCACGAAACACATATAGACACTATCGGGCGTATGATAAATAAGGACTTTGTCACTGGTAAAGAGTTTTATCACTTCAAGCAGGAGGTAATGTATCAGAAAAACTTCAGTGATCTTCAGAGTAAGGTCAGCTACTGCATTACGCAGGTCATCCCTTTGGCTGAGAAGATCGAGGAGTCTATCAGAAACGTTTCTGAGCTTCGAGAGGAGCTAAAATAAACTTGAATATCGCCTCCTTACCAAAGCTGACAAAGATGCGGTGTTTGCAGTTGAGCAAAGGTAGGATTTTACTGATCCTTCAGGTTTTACGATTTTACACCCAATGATAACTTCAGAGATCTGGAGAAAGATGTCAAAAACTGAGTTACTAAACAAGAACTTCTTAAAGCAGAGGAGACCATTCATCAATGTGAGAAAGCCATGGAAAAGCTGAAAGAACTCGAAACTGTCAACAAGAAGATTTATGACGTCAGGGATGAGCTTGAAGGGTCAATTTTGAATTGAGTCAAAAAGCTTGATTTGGAAAAACTCTCTACTCAAAACACTGAGAAATTTGATAAGATCAGTACGGAATTTCTGCTAATTCACAACACTAACACTAAGATTGATGTTGAGCTTCGAAGGCACGAGAAGATGATCATGAACTGTGTGACTATACCTAACCCTGCTTCTGAATTTAACTTCAAGGCTAATAATATCATGCATAACTATTCCAAAGTGTCTCGCTTAGAAGAACTTGAGCGAAAAGTGTTTCCTGTGATAGAGAGCTTCAGGAAGAAGATTACTGATTTTGAACAGAGCGCAAACTATCCAGAGATTTAACGGTGTCATCCAAAGATTCGATGAAATCCTTTGTTCAAAAGCTTCGAAGGTTGACTTTAAAGATATGCTCAAGAGTCTTGAGAGCTACGTCAAGAAGGAAGAGGTGGAGTGGTTATCTAAATTTCGCGACCTCGTTCATGATTCGCTAGACAAGGTTGATACGAAATTTGAAGAACATTCTCATGATATTATACAAGACTTAAAAATCATGATACAAGAATCAGCTATTGAGATTAAATAAAGCTGTACTCCATCAAATTGGAGGGAAACCTATCGAGATAGAAGAGATTCAGCAATTTTTACAGCTGAAAGTGGACAAAGTTGATTTTCACAAACTTGATAAACACAAAGTTGATAAGGAAGATGTAGTCTATCTCTCTGGAGTGCTCGAGTTTGTCTGTAGGTACCTCAAAACTATAATTCTGGTCATCTCAGATCAGCTCGAGAATGGTATGAGAAAAACTGACAATACCAATAATGCAAAGTTCTCTTAAATGCAACTAGAAAGCAGAAGACAATCTATAATATAAACCAGATGAAGAGTATTTATAAATAAGATCATCGAGCTGGAGAGGGAGAAACCTCTAGGTATGAGCCAGGATAGAGAAGATCGCTCCTTTGACCAGAGAGAAGTGTCTCCATTTATGTTTAAAACTCTTAATACAGGAATGCAGACAGATTCTGGAAAAGATGGGAGGACTTCTCCATTCAGCCCCTTCTTTCACGATACTAAGATTGTCAAATCTAACAAGTTTCATGGGCTAAGTGGTGAGCTCACGTTGTCAGATGATAATCTCCTGAGTATCAAGAGTGGGCCTCCCAACTCTTCATATGTGATGAGGATGAAGAACCAGATTTCGAAATCAAGAAGGACCAGGTCAAGACCGCGCACGATGAACTCTTCGATTATGAAGAAGAAATCCTCCGCTCCCAAAGACCCTCGGAATGTAGGGATTAAGCTGAATATAAACACAATGAAGACAGTACTTTTATGGGTAACTTTTAGTCCAAGAACTCTATTAAGTCACCAAAGAGCTCTGCTGAGTCCAAGATTCCCTATGTTGACCCAGAGAAGCTGCTGAAACAGTTCAGGCAGAAGGATATTGGTAATTTTATATAATTTTTAGATGATAATAACACAAAAGATCGGCACAATTCTTCTAAATATTTAGAAAGTTCGATGAAAAAGTAAGGTTCTGGGGATCTTCCAAGCTTGTAGATCTGTTATCAGCCAAGCTTTATGGGCACTAATGGTTTTACAGAGCCAAGCTTTATGGGCACTATTGATTTTACAGAGCCAATTTTTACATTTTAATAAGTTACCGTCTTAATACAAAATTTAGTATTGAGGTAAATTTTGAGTAAACCAATGCAGACTGTACCTCAGATCTCAACAAAGTTTGACATGCAATCAACGATGATGGATGGAAAAGATAGCTTGAAAGAGGAAAACAAGGCTGAACGTGAAGAGCAACTTCGCCTAGCCAGTAAATACGGAGCTGCAAAGGTAAAAAGAGTTGTAACTATGAAATATAACACAGATATCCCAAGATTCGACTCTAGTGACAAAATTGATAAGAGCCATGTTGTTAAGGAAAGCACGAAGATAATTGATGGAATGGCTTTTAATATGTATCCTATTTAGAATCTATTCTAAAATTTGTGATTTCTTTGTTTTCAAATTTTTTCATCATTCTAGGGGTTTTGGGGTTTTGGGGTTTTGGGGTTTTGGGG